CCAAGCCTGCAGTTGGAAGACATGCAAAAGAAAGGAAGAAGAAGAAGGAAAAGAAGACAGGACCTCAACCTTGAGGAGGAGGGGAGGGAGCGGCGGCTGGTGAGGAATGACTGTGGTGAGTGCAGCTCTGGCCTTGGGAGGGGACAGTAGTGGGGGCAAATCTACCCGCAAAGAGGGAAAAACACCCAGCAAAATCAACATGAAAGCCAGGGAGGGGGGTTGGAGGAGGGCCAGCCTAGATCAGAGCGGTGCTGGCCTGAACAGGTAAGAGCTCCTCAGGCAAAGTCCCCCAGCTGGGGCTCTGGCTTGTGTGATGCTGTGGGCGCCGCCTCCATCTCAACATGCTGAGGAGAGGCTGATGCGTAGGTCGACTAGATCCTAAAATTAAAACCCAATAACCTTCAAATAGATCAACGGGCTGGCAGCTGATCGGGCTGTTTCCAGATGGAGAAGCCTCTTGTGAGGGAGGCTGAAGCACCCAGCCTTAGTGCTGGGTTCCCTGGAGAGCAGAGTTTGGATACCTGAGGGGCCCTGCTTTCCCCAAGGCCAGTGGGCCAGGCCACAGGCTGCAGATTTGAAGTTTTTAGATGCGTGAAGCAGCTCTTGATTACACAAGATGCATGTCAGGAATAAAGAAGAAGAGGTCATCTGAGTGGCTCCAAGCATTCTCCAAGACTGAGAATAGAGGGCTGGGAAGGTGGCTCAGTGGTAAGAGTGGTTGCCTTGCATGCATGAGGCCCTGGGTTCAATTCCTCAGCACCATATAAGCAGAAAAGGCCAGAAGTGGTGCTGTGACTTAAACAGTAGAGCACTAGCCTTGAGCCGAAGAGCTGAGGGACAGCGCCCAGGCCCAGAGTTCAGGCCCCAGGATTGGGGTGGAGAGGCACTGAGAAGAGGAACTGCAATCCTAGCACAAAGGCTACCATGACCCCGGGAAGGAAGAGTGGTTGAACCTGCCAGCAATTTCTCAGGAACAGTTTCTGTATTTTGTTGTAGTTTGTTTGTTTGTTTGTTTTTGAGACAAAAATAGCTATCCCTTCTTGAAGAAAACAATCATATAATTAGTACTTTACTAACTTACTAATTAGCATTTAAAGAATTGAATATCCAGGTATTATGGCCATGTAGTTATAATCTTCCAGCTGTCTTTAATACAGCCACACACACTTCAAGGTCCATGTCCCTTTACCTCAAGAAGGCGTTTGCTTTAGATTTGTAAGAGCAAACCCAATGTAACAAATGATTTTGTTTCAAGGTGTACCATAACTGGTGTAGATAAGTAGAACACTTTGGCCAATTGTTCAGTCTTTTTTTTTCAATTGCTCAGTCTTGTCATATAACGTGAAGACCTCGATTCATTCACTAAATTAAAACACACACACACACACACACACACAGTATGTCACAAACATAGTGCTGGGCAGACCTCTGATACCATGGATTCACATAAAACAATTTCCTGAACACTCTAGTGGACACCTACAGACTCTAATGAGCAAGACAAAGATAACTGAGCTTCCTTATTTTCCTGGAGTCGATCTGGCCCGATTCATGTGACTTGATCTTCAGTTGTAGTAAACTTAAAATTCTGGGTTCATATTTTTGGTACTGAAGACAGACAAAGGAAAAAAGTACAGAGGAACAATGATCATCAAAAGGAAGAAGAGTTAGACTGAACCTGGTAGTGTATACCTGTGAGTCCAGCTACATGAGGGAGTCATAGAAAGAGGATCACAGTCTGAGGCTAGCCCTGGAAAACAGCACAAGGCCCGATCCCCCAAATGAATGAAGCCAAAAAGGACAGGGGCAGGGTTCAAGTGGTACTGTGTCTGCCTCATCCGCATAAGACTCTGCCTTATAATCCCAAACAGAGAGAGAGAGAGAGAGACAGAAACAGAGAGAGAGACAGACAGAGCAGAGACAGAGAGAGACAGAGAGAGAGTGAGAGAGAGAGAGATTTGTGGACTATGAAACAGATAAGGACTGGCCTGCTGGAGTGCAGCCATCTTGAATCATAACCGCCATGGGCCCCCAGAGCAATCCCATCCTGACCCTCCCTTGGCTTCCCCGAAAGCTACAAGTAGACAATAGCAACAGAGGGACACTTGGAGATCCATGACCAGACCGCAGTGCCAGGAATGTGTCCAACTCTTGATGGTAGCTTGAGGTCAACCAGGTACATTAAAGATTAGATGAAGTCACTCTCGACTACTTCATAAGCCCCCAGCGTTCAGACCCAAAACACGGAGATCCACGCTGGACCACGTCTGCGTCAGTAAGTTCCCAACACATTTCAACCTATGCTCGCTGGGTCCCTCTGTGCTTTCCTTTGGTCTGAAGGTACCTTCAGACCTGCTCCATTCCTGGTGCTGTGTCCTCCAGACCATTGTTTGTGGCCCACACAGCCTTCAGTTGCATTGTGAGGACCAAATGGAAAGCTTCCAAAGGGGCCCACACAGTTCTCTAACATCTATTACATATTCAGCAGTAAAACGGTCATCTAGGGGTAGACAAAAGAAAGTTGTGGACATCAGAACTCACATTGATTTCAGAAATTATTCATACCTAAAGTTACAAAATCATTTCCCCTAAATAATACATTAAGATGATGGTCGCATTTTTCTTTTTTTTTTTGTGATCTTTCAGTGGCTCTAATGGATCCAGGCAACAATGCCATGGACAAGTAGAAAGGCTGAAAAAAAATATGAGTCCAACGGTTATGGACAACACACCATCAAAAAAGGATCGTCAAGCCTTGAATTATTTAGAAGTCTGCACAAGTAGGGCAGGCATCTGACCTAAAAGCTCATTCTCCGCCCTGAATCACACTTGGAGGGGAGGTGGTGGATGTGTTCTTAAGTATAAAGAAAGGGCTCCCAGGGCACACGTTGATGGAGTGGGTACTGCTGGGACCTCAGTGGCCACTGGGATAAATAAGAGCAGAAAGGAAGAGGGGCCAGCAGCTCATGGGGAAATCCAATTGGACTTCTAACAAAACCTTCAACCAGACAACAGAGGAAGCAACAAAGTGCACTCACCAGCGCTGTGGGCATGTTGTACCAATGCAGTAAGTAGGCACCGATGTTATGCCCTCTTCACAGAAGTGGTTGATGCAACTGAGCAAGGCTGGATAAGATGCCCCCCGGCTTCTTCCCATGTCTCCTGCTCTTTTCCTCCCCCTTTCCCCCCACCCCTGCCCATCACAAGCAGCTACAAAAAGCCATGGCATCTATACTGTGCTTTTCTGCATTTGCCTGGCCAATAAATGTCAACAACAACAAAATTACTTGACATAAAAATATCCACAAATAACGGCCAATCCATTCTCCTGCTGAGGCGGAGACAGAATGAGAATAAATGAAGCCGTCATTCTTTATCGTGCCCTGGCATGAATCTGAAGTCCGAGAGGAAGATTATTTGCTGGGCAGACAATTCTTCTTTGATATATTTTTCATGTATTTATAAGCCTCATTTCAGCCAAGGCTTATGGCATAAAACATAAGGGAGTTGCAATAATTCAAAAGTGGAGATTGATTTTTGAAATAGAACTGGTATTATGGTTCACAAAAGGGATGAAATGAGAAGTAAAACTGGGATTCAACACTATTGGATAGCCCACAGGAAGTAGTCTACAGGCAGCCACCAGCCGGCCACCGTCGGCTGGATTAGTGCGAAGGCTTAATTGTGCTGTTTGCAAACACTGACACCAACTCTTAACAACTGTGAGTTTCCATGGGAAACTAAGATTCCTGGCTTCTCTTAAAATCCCGAGCTCAGACTTCAGTTCATTTACACTTGTGGTTACCAGGCAGACGCTTTGCTGGTCTTGTGCTTTACACTGTCTGTAAAGTCTTCAACTATCCTAATTCTGGGGTACCTGTTCTTTCATTCCCATCATCCACCAGCCCCCACCGAGAGCAGTTCTTGCACACGAACCCACCTGCTCACTCCCGGCCAAACTGAAGATCAAACTCCTGACTGACAATCTGCCATTCCCTGCATCTTGAGTAATTTCGCAAATCCAAGGCCCAAATGTTAGCTCCTCTCTCTTTTCAAAAGCCATTTGTCTTAAGTATAATCCCTAAACACGTGACCCTTTTCTCATCCAACAGTAAGGGGTGAGTCCCGGAGTCTGGGCTTGGTGGGCTCTGGTGATCTGAATGATGGAGAGTGGTGGGAATCTGGTTTGGTGTCTCCCCAGGTACTCATGAGATGAGGGCTCAGTCTCCCGTGTAGCAATGTGGGGCGGCGGGTGTCTTAAGAGACAGGGCTTGTGTGGCGAGCTTGAAGTTTTTCAAACACATCTCTGATCCCTTTTCTCTATTACTATAAATCTGGATCTATAATGAATTTATCTTTTACCACCACTAAATTGATTTCCTGGGAAAGATCAAGGTGGTCCTCGTGAGACTCTGGCTGGGCTGGTGTCTCAAGAGTGGGTGGTGGTATGGGGTCCCTTTCCATCTCACCACGCACTTGCGTCCTCTTACTCCCGCCATGACACCACTAACCCTGGGGTCCTCACCAGAGCCAACCTTGACACCGTGCCATGCCTTCAAACCTGCAGAACCACAAGCTAAATAAACCCTTATTCTAGAAAGAAAAGAAAATGAGCTTTTCTCTATAAAGCGCACGCCCTCGGGTATTTTCTTATAGCAACGCTATGCTGAGCCACAGGATCCGTTTGCAGACCAACCTTACAAAACCGGCTACTACCACCTCCGGTCCCTTGGAGGGCTTACTCTAGGAAAGAAGTCAACCATGATAAGAAGCAAAGCGTGCTCACCTTCTAGAGAGATCCACCTAGGAAAGACAAGGCCAAGGCCTCATTTGTCAGGTGAGTGAGACGTTTTGGATTCTTTCCTCTCCCACCAGCGGACTGTCCTCCCTAAGCCTTCACCACAGCTCAGGTTCATGAATGACGATCGCTTTCCACCAGGGAATGATCAGTTCCAGTTATTCCCTGACCAGAACACCCACCCCACCCCTGGTCTCCTCACCTGGCCGATGCGCCTTTGGGACCGCCATGTTCATCACCCGCCCTCCATCCTGAGGTTTGGGAGGAGACGCAGTGAACCTGCAGATCCCCGATTCCGAAGGGGTGCTGGAGGTCAGACTGTCCGTGTACTCGTTTGTCCCTGCCGTCAGCTGCTCGGAGGAGGTGTCGGAGATGAAGCATTCCGTGACGGTGAACTTGGCGTGCCGCAGCTGCTCCTCCATCTTGGCGTGTTCATAGGCCCTGGCCAGCTCCTCGTAGGTGGAGGAAGCGCTTTCCGTAGAGACCATGCTGCTTCTCGCTCGGTCTACACCGGGGCAGAGAGGAAACACAACAGGTGATACCCCGCCCCATGTCTGTCCCCACTGGATGACCTGTCTGGCTTCCGGATGCTTCTTACAGGTCACTGTAGGATGTGGCAGGAGCCTGGGCTATCTGTCAGAGGACTCTGCCTGTCTTTCCGAAGCCAGCTTGCTAAGTGTCAGCAATTTCAGCTCGGGGAGTGCGTGTCAATTGAATCACGGTAGTCAGATGTCCAACCCCAGACGTCTCCATAAATAAGTAATGCTTCCCTTAAAGAACTCTGCTGTCAGCTAGGATGGGAGGGGTTGCGGGGTCACTGAGCTGCGGTCCCCTCCCCCCACCTGCAAATCGATCCACACCACAGAGACGCTCTAACTGGCATGAATGATTGGAGCACTGAGGTTCAGCAACTTAGGCTTTCACTTGGGAGACAGACGGGAGGATGTGACTTTGCATAGAAATTGGCCACGAGGTAGAAAGGTCCTTGATCCCCCTCTCTGTTGTTACCACTCTTTATGGGGACAAGAAAACATCCAGGAGAAAAACTAGTACAAATGGGCCTAAGTTCAACTGGGCCACACGATCTCTGCTTTTCAAGCCTACTAAAAAGTTTTGAAGTCACTTCTGGGGAACTCTGAAAGCCTTCTAAGAGAAATAACAGCCCCAAAAAATAACAGCCATAAAAAACGCTCCACCTTTAGATCCCTGGTTTTGAAATATAACATCAAGAACAAAAGAAAGATGAGTATTAAAATTTCCTACAGCGATCAGGTTCAGAAATAATTTCTTTTCAAAATTTGGGAGGTTGCGGGGGGGAGGGAGGTTAGGTGAGCCAAAACTATTCTTAGATCCTGTCTTCCTTCTCTCAGAAGGGAATCTTGGGGCTGCTGCCATGTGATAATGAAATAATTGATGGAATAACCCACCCTTGCTTAATTGTCAGGTGGGCCGGCCTACGTCCCCTCTAGAGGGAGCTGTGACCTCCCTGGTATGGCAGCTTCCAGAGCATTATCTTAATCCTAGACATAGCAGGCCAGATGCCTAGAGTGCAGTCCACGATTACTGAGACAGTGTGGCGAGCGTGTGAAAACGTCTGCATTTCTCCCAGCTGGGTAGAAACTAAACAGAGGCAACAGCATGGGTATGAGATTCGGGACACACGCTAAAGAGATACCTTGGTGTGATTTTGCAGATAGACTGGCCCTGCATGAAAGAAATGCTGTCTGTACTGCACCCCAACAATCTTCAAGGGGCCGCCACCGAGGATATGCAGGGAAAGAAAGCCCTCTGCTTCCTCCCAGGGACCTCACGAGACACGGTGTGAACAAGAGCAGGGGTCGGGCTTTCGGGGCCCAGGGAGGAGGGCAAGCGTGGCCTCACCTGTGTCCTGTGATGGGCTGACGCTGTAGCTGTCACTCTCCTTGTCCACGGACCCCGTGGCCCTGGGCGTCGGCAGCCTCCAGTCTGTGGTGAGGGTGTGGGCGGAGATGGTCGGGTGGGGTCGGTTGAGGGTCCATTGGCTGGCGTACCGGTTCCTCGCCGTGGGCCCGGCCTTGGCATTCCGCCTGGTGGTAGGGTCTGTGAAGAACCAGGAGTTGTGAGTCCTTTTGTGCCTAGAGGGGTGGTCCCATGGGCTCCACCGAGGAGGGCAGCTGTCTCCCCTGGAGCACCCCCGGACAAACCTTCCACGCCCAGCCGGATTACCAGGGAGCCTTCCTTGGTTGTTTCTGTCTGGAGTGAAACAAATACTTGTGTGCATAGAAACTGAGGTGGTGGTGTGTGTTCATGGAGCCGCAGGCAGGAGCCAGTGGGGCAGACTGGGCTTGGATCTCCACTCCAGTGAAGTGAGGAGAGAGATGTCTTAGCAGCAGGGAGGGTTGGAACCTGGAGTGCACAAGGAGAGGTTCCAGGGCCTCGGACAGTTTTCCTGGGCTGCGGGCAGAGGTAGCCTAGAGGCCTAACAGGGCCTTCATGCCTTTGGACCTCTGCCTCCCCGGGAGGAATGCTGCCTGGTTCGTTTGGGAGACTGGCTGGCCATGCAGAACCCCGCCTCACTGCTGGGCCCCAGTGTGACCGTTTCAAAGGAGCTGAGAGGGCCGACTGTGTGACGCCGCTGTGACACTGCGGCGTGGCTGCTCTGGCCTTGGTCATGAGCCAGGGGTCCCTCTGTGGATCCATCCATGGAGCCCAGAGCAGCCCCTGATACACAGAGCTCCCCAAACCAATTCCTACAGCCTGGGGTGGCTTCACGAAATAGCCGTGGCAGCGCAGAGGCGCGTGACCCCGTCACGAGGTGACAACACGGAGCCCAAACATTCTGCCTTTGCCCATCGCTTAGTCACAGAAGACCCCGTCTCAGTCATCTGAATTTCAGCAATATTTACATGACCATGACTTCTGTGTGTTTGGGGGCTGTGGGTGTGGTGTTGTGGGCCGTGTGTCCGTTCTGGGGCTTGAATTCAGGACCTCATGCTCTGACTGGCTTTTTCACTCAAGGCTGGCACTCTACCACTTGAGCCATGGCTCCACTTCCAGCTTTTTGCTGGTTAATTGGACTTTTCTGCCTCAGCTTTGAAGTGAGATTCTCTGTCCTCATAGCTAGGATTCCAGGCATGAGCCACCAGTATCTGGCTGACAATAACTTCCTCATAATCCTTCTTGGAGTCTGGGAGCTTGACACCGTAGAAGGGTGAAATGACTTTCTTGGTAAATGGAAGATTTTTCCCTTCTGCAAATTTCTTGTTATTGGATTTTTGAACCAATTCATCACTCTAGGATGTCAGAGAACAGCATTAATAGGGCATCCAATCAATAGCATTTAAGATTCCCTGGCTCATCTAAACACTGTCTTGGTCCATGCTCTCTGGGGCATTGGTTTTTATTTTTTTTAAGACACATTTCATTCCTAAGTTGCAAAATTCCAGAGAGAGCTTTATTGGAAAGTTTTATTTTTATGGCTTTGATTAGAATGCAAATGAGCTATGCTAGAGTGTCCAAAACCCTCTACATAACAAGGTGTGAATGATAATTGTGTTTCTCTACTGAAACCTCTACGAGACAGAAAAACACTCTCATGGGTAGGAGGCTAAATGTCTTCCAGGCACTATCGACATGATAAGTGGAGCTTGAATAAGTGCAGCTTGTTATTTAAATGCTAATGAATCTTCTCCAGAAAATTACCCAGTCCCTTACATAAGTTTTCAGGAATCTCATTTTTATATTTCTTTTATTTATTTATAAGTGTGTGTGCCAGTACCAGGGCTTAAACTTGGGGCCTGGGCATTGTCTCTTAGCTTCTTTGCTCAAGGCTAGCACTCTACCACTTGAGCTACTTATCCACTTCTGGCTTTCTGGTGGTTAATTGGAGAGAAGGGATTTCAATCACAGCCCTCAGATCTCAGTTTCCTGAATAGTTAGGATTATACATGTGAGTTACTGGCTCATGGTTACCGGTTACATGGGGGGAGTTTGGTAGTACCCCAACCCTTCAACCCTCCCTGCGCTTCCTCCTCTTAAGCTAGCTCTACAGCAGTGGCAGGGCAGAGATGTCCCTTTTACCAGACCTCCCCTAGGTGGACAGCACCGTATTTGGAAAATTCCTCGGGGAATCGCACATCAGCCTCTATTTGAAGCCAGTACTCTTTTCAGGATTCAGGTTAATTTTGAGTATTATTCCCTGCCCCTCCTTTTTTTTTTTTAATGGGTGAGAACATCTTTACCAGTGGCCTGATAATACTGAAAATATAGGTCACGATACTTGTTTCCTGAGTGGACGGTACCCTGCGGTGCTGTTCTGCACTCACAGGTGCCCTGGAGTGGGGAGCTGCCTCTGGGCTAGAGTATGGGGGTTCCTGATACATTAAAAATGAATTAATGTATCCATGACTACTTCAGAGTTTATGGGATAGGGAAGCTTGTATTTAGATTCCACTCAGTTCTGTCTTTTGTGTAACGTACCAGTTCAGTTAATAAGCAAATCTATGTGGGTACTTACTGTCCCGCCTGGGAAGTACTTCGCTACCTCCCCCCCTCACATGACATCCAAATATAAATAAAACTTGGAGATTAAGCATCATCTTGCCAAGAAACCAATGCGTGAGAGGGCAGAGGATATAAATAACTCTTGGCCTTTCAACAATGGGTCTAAGCCTGCATTACATTTCTGCCCATTAAATCAAATTATTTTAATTATCCTGAATCTGGGATAAGAGAGGATTTTGAGGATAATAGGGTTCCAGAGTAGGTCATATGCACCGTGATCCCCGCATTAATCTGCTTTCATCTTTGGCTGGCAGTTTTCCTGTCCTGCAGATGCAAGACGTCAGCTTGTGAGATGGCTTTATGGGTCCTCACACAGAGGATAAACTGGTAGACCTGGTGTCCCATCTAGAACTAATCCATGTTGTAAGCTCTTCATATATATGTGTATATGTGTGTGTGTGTATATATATATATATACATATATATATATATACACACACACACATATAATTTCTTATATAAAAGTGACAGTATTTTTATCCAACCTACTTACATTTTAAACAAATTTTCAATCATTTCTAGGTTACCTGTAATAGCTAATACTACGCAGATGCTATGAAAATAGTCATTACACTGTGCTTAGTGAATAACCCACTGCTGACTGGATCCACAGATGTGAGTCCTACAATCCTACAGACCTGGAAGACTCAATATCTCCATCTATGTATCTGATCTTGATCGATAGATCTATTCACACACATACATATACACTTTGGGCACAGAGACAGACGTGTATGTGTGCCTCTCTGTGTGCAAAAGTGTGCGTGTACATGCATGTGTCTAGTCTTTGATTCTCATGCATGTATCCTTTAAGTATTTTAGTATCATCATCTCCACTTGGAGGCCACATGCAATGTGGCACTGATCAGGGCCTCAGGAGGCTCAGCAGGTGGATTAGGAAGGCTGAAAACTCAGACAGTGTGATAGAAAAGCCTCCATAAAAATTACTAACCCAGGGCCGGGTACCTGGCTTAGTGGTAGAGCGCTTGCCTAGCATGCATGAAGCCCTGGGTTTGATTCTTCAGTACCACACACACACAGAAAAAGCTGGAAGTGGCTGTGGCTCAAGTGGTAGAGCACTAGCCTCGAGCAAAAGAAAATCAGGGACAGTGTCCAGGCCCTGAGTTCAAGCCCCAGGACCAGCAAAAGCTAAAAATAAAAGAAATCACAAACTTAGATGGCTTAGGCGCCAGGGCACAGGAAGGGACTTCCTTCTCCTGGCTCTGGCTCTCTCAAGCCGTCTAGGTTTCTCTGCACTGGAAGGTTGGCCTGTGGGGGCCAGGTGGGGTAGGTGTAGGATGGTTCCATCCTCTGGATGAGGCTGGCGGGGGGTGGGGGGGAAAGACTTTGAAGCCATGACTTGAGGGATCATTGCTTCATCACCACTGTGGAAGTTAGGCAGGCACAGAAGGGAAGGTGCAAAGGTGTGTGCCCAGGCTGGGCTGGCTCCCGGGAGCTCCTCCCACAGCCTCCGACCGAGAGTGAGTGGGATCTCAGCAGCACTCACACAGGAGGGTCTGAAGATCTGCCTGATCCAGTCAAGCTGCAGCCAGGCGGGGCCCCAGATGCAGGGTCTGGCTCCTTGTGCATAGGAGAGACCTGGTAACATTTGCTCTGACAGTCTCTCACCTTGCCCTAGCTGAAGAATACATGCCAGAAATAGTGAAGTTCCCACCATTAGATTTGTCCCACTGTAGGGTACTACCACCACTTATTAAATCTGAGAAAGAACTTTTGAACCTTTCTGTTCATGGATAATTAATAATAACTCTGCACCTTTTGCACTTGCAGGTCCTGAATTTGATCCTAATCACTGAGAATAGCACAATGAATGCCCCAACGAAATCACCACCCACAATGAACATGTCGTAGACTCCTATTTGGATCAATCAGCTGGTGTCTTCAGTGCACACGGTTAGAAAAGCAAGGCTAAAAAGTAATACCGTAAAACAGATGCTGGTAAAGGCTGGTGCTCCAAGCGGGCTGGAGAGCAGAGGCAGCAAAGTTAAGGCCTGTGTTTATCATTATATTCAGTTGACTCTCCATACCCATGAGTTCTGTTCTCAAGGGTCCAACGAAGCATACATCAAAAATATCCTTTAAAAAAGTGTATCTGTGCTAAATAAGTGCAGTACTCTGTCATTATCTCTGGCTAATGCAATGTCACAACTATCTCCATAGGATTTTCCTTGTAGTTGGTATTGAAAGTTATCCTAGATGATTTATATTCCAAAGCTGTGTCGATTTCTACAAAGGACTTGAGCTTCCCAAGACTTCTGGAACTGATGCTTCTACGAATGCACAAGTACCAAAACATTTTCAAGACTGATCCTTATCAGTTTGTGTGTCTTCCACCATTTGCGAGTGGAAAAAAAAATGATCTGTTTCCCTAGGTAAGGAGGTAGACGTGACCTGTGCCATTGTGCCGGGAGGTGTCAAAAGAGACACCTCTGCTGGGTGTGAATGCACATCCCCTCCCTGAACTGAAGTCAAGGCCGGGACAAGAAGCAGAGGACAATTGAATGGGCTGTCCAGGGCCTAGGTAAGCTACTCTGTGCCTTTCTTTGCCATCACTATCATTCTGATCTCGAGCGGATTGCTGATAGGAGCTCCAACACTGTTAGTAGGCATTGGACAAGGAAGGCACTAGAGCTTGCTTCAAGAGTGCGTCACAAGGGACGGGAAGGAGACTGAGGTGAAGGAGGTGCTGGAAGAGATGGGTTGAGAGTTGTTGCCATTTCTTCCATCCTCATAATCAGAGTATCTGCTGCAACCCTCTGGCACGTTAATAAAATGTTTACAAACATCATCTCTGCAAGGCAGTCCTTTTAGTGTGTGAACAACATATTGTAGGTGCTCTTCTTAAAAGGGCAGAACTCCTGCAGCGGCAACACAGTCAGTCCTAACATAGAAGGTGGCTTGTTAGCACTTTCCTAGCTGTGTGTGTATCTTTGAGGACTGGCTCCAGGAACCCCTTACACAGCAAAGCCATGGATACTCTGGTCCTTGAGATCAAAAACGACATAGCATTGATATACAGCCTACATCCATCATCTTTACACTTCAAATAGTTTCTAAGTGACTAAGAATACTTAGCATGATATAAGCCCCATGCAAATACTTATCAGACTACATTCTTTAGAGGAAGGTGGAAACAACCTGTGCATGTGTAGTACAGGTGAAATTTATCCCTATGAATGTGTTTGATTTGCATTTGGCTGAGGATACAGAACCTAGGGACACAGAGGGCTTAGTGTAGAAATGAATTTCTGTAAATACGGACAAGACCAGAAGGAACAAGAATCTGGCCCCTGGGATGGAAAGAGTGCAGGTGTGCCACCTGGGCAGGGGGGAAGTTCTGGGTCACAGGACACAGGCAGAGAACCGGGCTCCTGAAAGTTCATGAACATGAACCTGCTTGGGGGACAGAGGCCCACAGTTTCTAATTCTAAAGAAAAAAGTAGAATGTTGTCAATCCCTCCCACTATGGTTTGGGGAAAATATTTAGTGGGAAAAAAAACATAATCCCTACCATCTTTGTTGAACACAGAGTGCTTGGCAGATGATAAATGAATAAATTCATCTTCAGATGAATCCATAGACTGCATTTTTCATATTAAAAACAAATGTTTATTAAAATCAGTGTCATAAAACCTTCAGATTCAGAGGGTGAATCGATATTTCACTGATAAGTGAATACTTTCGTGTTTGGGGGAAGAGGGGCAGCCAGAGACAGTTGCAGGAATTGGGGTGACTTTTGCTGGTGTCACTAAACCTTCAGTGGGATGAATGCTCCCTGAGAGGGAAGAAGCATTTTTGTTTCAGTTTGGTTTGGTTTCTTTGTTGTCGCTTTGCTTCTCTGCAGTACGGGGGATCGAACTCATGACCTTACACTTTCTCTACCGCTTGACCCTCACGAGGCCCCGGTCGAGTACTGTTCTTAAAACAACTGGTGAAGAACAACACTGCCGCTCTGCCTGGCTCAGGGGCCCTGGGGTCCGGGCAGCTCTCCTTCATGGCTTCCCTCAACGCAGGCGGCAGCTGCCCGTGTCCCCTACATTGACCAACAGCTCTGGGAGCTTCACCTCTGTCTGCATTTTACCTCTAGCCTTGACTCATGCCTTACCATCCAAGGACCGGACCTTCCCCAAGGACAGTCCCCCCCCGCCCCGCCCCCTCCATCTACTCATTCTGTTCTTACTGAGAAATAGACAAAATCCAAAACCGCGGCTCCTCATGAGATGCCTTCCCCCACTAAAGTGGAATGAATGAATGTCATTTCCTCGCCCCCCCACCCCCCGCATCCCTGCCATGAGCCCAGAGCCCTCGATGTAAAGCAAAACATGAACAAATATTTTTGCACGCGCGGTGAGCAAATCCTTCAACTTCCCCGTGGGGCTAAACGCTGAATGTATATAACTGAGCTGGACGGCGGCCTCCCGGGTCGCCTGCCAAGGCTCCTCTATGACTGGCTTTTGGTCCCCCTGTGTCTCTCAGATTCCTGTCACTGTTGATATTTTAAATGCCATTAAAGCCACTTCTCATTACCTTGGGGGCTTATTATTCGCACAGCCGGAAGATTTTCTTCCTGGGGCTTCCTTGTTACCATGGCTTCTCCTGCCTGGACTACTTGGACCAGCCTTTGGGCGGGGCTCTGGTCCTTGAGCATTGAGAGGAGGGCTGGGCTCACATTGCTTTGCAGCGGCGGGTGGAAAGGCTGTTGTGCGGGTGAGCACAGCAGGCTGGAGAGGTGCCACTGGGCAGGGGCGGGGCCAAGCCAGATCTCTGGTTCTCTGTGTAGTAACACTTGGGGAGGGAGGGCCCCCCCCCCACAACTCCTCTACTTGGGAAGGAAAGCCTCCCGCCCCCCACAACCCCTTCAGAATCAGCTCAGAATTTGCTACTGCCAAGAGCATGGGCCCTACCCTCATTGAACTAGACTAGCATCTCTAGGGCAGGACCACAAATTGGTATTTTAAACAGGTCCGCCTGAGTGAGTCACACACACACACACACACACACACACACACACACACAGACAACTCCCTGACCATCTGTCCTGTTTTCTCTGTCTGCAGCTACTGTTTCCAGCAATTTCCATGCTGACAGAGTCAATGGAATGCCAAAACCGAGGAGGTATCCAATTACCTTCCAACTCTGTCAACTTGCTCTGATACTTCAGCAAAAAGTGGCCTGGAAACCTACCACGGAAGTGCCTGGAAGAAGCCACAAGCCGTGCCGAGACCATCTTGGTGGGGAAGCGGAATGCTGACCACATGCCAGGCCTTGGAGCACTTCTGAGGAGCTAGCTCACAGACGCAGCCCCTGTCACTCAGGCTCTACCCCGTCCTCAGAGAGGAAAGGGGGTGAGGTCAGAGACAGAGTGCTCTGGAGCCCGTCCTTCAGGTGACCCCCCTCCTGGCACTGTCGGCTCTCCCCCTTGTGCAGCATTTATTATTTGCTAACCAACTTCTTAGCTTGATGAATCTCGCTGCCTTCCCTCAGCAGCGCACAAGCTAGAATTGATAACAAATAGCTTCCAACATGACAAAAGTACTCTCAGAATGTAAATTGTTGCAAAGAGCATGATGACAGAGACTTAAAAGCTCGACATCAAAGCTTCCAAAACGATAATAATTGGGACATCAATTTCTCAGTCTTTAAGAGGATTGAGGAACAATTTCAGTTATGAAGAAACAAGATTATCTAATTAGTAAACTCCAGATACATATTACAGGGGTTAACTTCACTGCAGTAATTAATTTCCATACATTATGGAAGCAAACATAAATAGCAGAGACCAACATAATCTCCGTTTTGGCTAGGACTGTAACTTTCCTCTGGGCTGGGTTGTCTGCCTGACTTCTCTGACTCTTTCCCCTTCTGAAAGACTATGATTGCTTTCTGAGTAGGTGCCTGCCTACCTACAAGGAAAATTATATCATCTTTATGCCCAATACTGGCATAGGGTAGCATAGGGTAGTTTAAATTAAAAGAAAAAAGTCTACCTGAGGGGCTGGGAAGGTGGCTCAGTGGTAGAGTGCTTGTCTTGCATGCATGAGGCCCTGGGTTCAATTCCTCAGTACCACATAAGCAGAAAAAGCTGGAAGTGGTGCTGTGGCTCAAGTGGTAGAGTGCTTGCCTTGAGCTGAAGAGCTGAGGGACAGTGCTCAGGCCCAGAGTTCAGGTCCCATGACTGACATCCCCCCTCCAAAAAAAAAATGTCTACCTGAAATTTCTAGCATTTTTCACAATGAGCCAATACCAAGACTTACGGGCTTTAATTGGTGTCATTCTAATAATCACTTAGATGAAACAAAACTCAATAGACCAAGGAAAGGTTTAAAGAAGCCGTTAGATCTGCTTGCTTCTTAAGTGTAGGATTTTAGGGCCCCTGCCCCTCCCCCAGCTGGCAGTTGCCAGGGACGGAACGGTCATGTTTACAGCAGTGAAAACACTCACTCGTGCCTGGCCGAGCATCTGACACATCCACCAGGGGCCCGGTGGCCTGCGACACTGACTGGTAGTGGACCGTGTGGGTCACCGTCAGGGACTTCTGTTTCGCGGCTTCTCCAAAGTCGGCATCGGTCAGCAAGACGGTGGAGCGGTCATCTGTGGGAAAGTAACACAGCATGCCAGGCATCTTACAACCCTCTCCCAAGCTCCTAGGGAAGCACTTATTTAAAGTGATCCTTCCATGGTTGGCCGAAGGGGACTCATTCAGCACATCAGTTATGTGTACAGGGACTCTCGATGAGCACTGCCCTTCCCAACACTCTCTCAACCCCACCGCTCTCCTCAAGCTACCTGGCTCCATGTCCACACGTGAACGTGGAGGGCTACCCTGTTATATCACTCCCTGGCCTTTATTCTCCATGAGCATCTTCATTACTGTTAACCACAAAGACACAACCTCATCCACAGCAAAGAAGGCGACAGGACTCCTCCCCCAAGGAGAATGGCTCCACAGTGTTAAAAATGGCAGCTCGCACTCGGAGTCAACTTTGAGTCTTCACTTACAGAGAAGGTTCAGTTCTTCTCTTTGGGCCCAGTTTCTTTCCTGAACTCAGGAGCTCACCCTTGCCTGGCTAGCTTGCAGGGTTGGTGGTCTCCCACAGGAGCCATGCCTCTAATCTGGCTTTTTGCTAGTTATTTTGCAGATGGAGGTTTTTTTGTTGTTGTTGCTGCTGTTGTTGTTGGTTGTGGGGTTTGAACTCAAGGCTTGGGTGCTGTCTTTGAGCTCCTTCGGCTCAAGGATAGCGTGCTACCCCTTTGTTCCTAAATGGACATTTTAACACAGCTTTGGGTTTTTTATGCTTGTCAGAAGCTCTCCGGAGACATGATCAGCAATGCCAGCTGTCCCCTGCACCCCCAGCGGCTAGGCTGCCATCGAGGAAGAGTCCTTTGATTACTAGAGCGCTAGATTTGGAGCCGGGAGCACACTTTCAGCTCTGACCCCTGGGGCTGCCCCTGGCTGAACTTGCAAATGTGTGCAGGGCAAAATGGAAAGGCTGGTCTTCAGTCCTTACCTACTTCTCTACTAAGGATGGAGTGTGTTCCTTTCTCTTCCCACTTCTTCTGAGCTTTCATTTCTCAAGTGCATGCTTTAATTGACTTCTTCCAACATGACTCACTTGTCAGACTTCCAGAGTCCTAAGGGCGTGGGCTCTAGAAGGTAGGGCAGCAGGAGCCTGGGGTGGGGAGGCTTCTACACATCTCAGGACCCTGCAGGAACAGCTGCTGGGCTGCGAGCTGTGATTTGGCTGTCTCTGGATTTGCAGTTCTCTTCTGGGATATGTTTCACACGTTCTTAAGAGCTTTTGTACTCCCAAAGCAACTTTGGTTAGGAGACGTGTTTCCCCCCCACCCCCCTGAGTTTTCCAGGATTGCAGCCCTGGATAATGCTTGCATGAGTTTATCAGTCAGCAGGGCCCCAGGAAGCAGCCCTGACACCGGCGCGGTGATATAAACGTTGTAAACAACACGGCAAGGCTTCTGTGCCCAAAAAAGGCTCTGAACAGAGCGAACCTTACCAAATCCAATTAATCAGATCTGGCAGGGAAGGAAAGCCTCTTGAAGTTAGAATCAAATTTCTTGGCACAGGACCCCAGGAGAGGCTGCCAAGCTGTCTGCTAGCATCCCAGTGGGATGCAGTGTGCAGGTTGGTACCGAGGTGGGCGCCAAAGCTGGGCTTGGAGGTCTGGCACTGCAGCTGTCACTCGACCCCCATAGGGAATCTTTGGGGTTCTGAGGGGCCGTTGATGATGGACGGGGCTGGGGAACTTGAGGTGCTTACCATCAGGAGCTTAAGTACTAACTCTGGCTGGAACTGAACGGCAGCCTAATATGTGGATTTTTATAGTCAGATCCCAGAGCGGTATACTGGGACTGTATACAGCTCCACTTCCTCAGTAGTTAGAAGAAACTATCAGCCCACTGTTTGGAATTATGAAGAGGCAAATCTTGGTCACAGATAAACAGACTGGGAGGGATCTTGGGCTAGAAGTCATGGGTCCAGGCAGACTGGCAGACTCTCTTTGGTGTTAAACCAGCAATGACTAGCTCTGGGAGGCCGAGTACCACGTAGAGAACCCATCAGCTCTCTGCGGTAGTCACCGTATGTAGAAGTTACCAGTGGGCCTAGTCAGAAACACATATTCAATATCATAACCATGTTATGCAACCATAGGGACTTTGATGCGCTAACCTACCCTGTTATACTGCTGATATAAAAGCAATGTCTTCAATGATGTGGACTGGAGGGTTACATTAAATGCTTATAACATGCTGATCAAAGTACCTGGTATTACATTTTTACTTGTTTCAAGAGAAAATTTTGATTTCATATTCAGTCTGTTGAATTAAATGGGAAAAGAAACAAGAAAGCGAATGGTGAGCAAAACAGATGCCTAATACCTCCTGTACTTTGGCCCAGCACTCACCCTGTACAATACAAGAAATCAGGATTTAACAGACATCACTTTATCTCATGAAGGCTCTAATGCTGGTCTTTACTAATCTTTCCATGCCTGGGCTAGATAGAAATCCAAAGAAGGATGCCTTAGAACCTTAGGCCTTCTAGAACCTTGGAGCCATGAGGACAAAATATCTCCCCTGGCTGGTGGGACAGGAGGGGTGAAGGCCATGCCGGAGACTCTCTGCTCGTCTGGCTTCCTTCATGAGCTTCCTGCCTGGAGGGATTCAGGGAAGGAGCTAGGGGCCAAGCCACGGTGCCCAGACCACAGGAAAGGGTTGTCCTGGCACCCAGTGACAGCAATCCCCTTCCAAAACCTGGTGAAAAGAGGCAGCTGCAGAGCCTGCCTCAGAATCCTTTCTCTAGGTCCTGGAATGCGAGGGTTCCTGAGGTGAAGCAGCTGCTGTGTAGAAGCAGGTGGCCGCAGCCTGGAGGAGGAGGGCAGGGCGGTGAAGCAGGTGTCCAGCTAGGGACACCGGGTTCTGTTCCTGGTAGCTACAGAAACTCTGCATCTCAGTTGCAAAAGTAGTACCTTTCCCATAAGCTGGCATGAAGTGAAAACAAAATCATGCACAAAAGCCAGTGTGTCACTTAGAAATCTCTTGATAAATGTTAGCCACCCTCTGGTTGTTACAGGGTAGAGAGAGGCTAGAGACAAGCCATCTGGATTATAGTGGATGAGCCACAGCATCTCTTCCATTGCTGTTATAGAAAGGAGAAATGCGGGGGGGGGGGGTATGGACTTTCCCTAGCCTAGGAGATTATGGGATGCTGAGAAGCAGAGAGGGAACAGGTGCCCTGTGTGAGACCTTTGTTTAATGAAAAAACTTAGTGGAAGCTGCCTTTATCAGGGTTTAGTAGAAGTGTGTGGACTGGATTTCCAAGACTGGGCTTTGTTGTGCCAGCCTTCCGGGTTTATTTCATTATGGCTGTCTGGTCTTTGATGCAGCATAAATCACTTTCCCAGAAAGGACTCAGAGCAGATCAGAGCTGGGAACTCTCATCACAGGCAATCACTGCGGTATTAGGGAAGTTCGTGTTCCCTGCCTCTCTGCTGGTACTTAATATTCTCCTTGACTTTTGTATGCATGGAACATTCAAGGTGTTCTCCTACCTCATATTTCCCATGCTTTGGGGGTTTGGCTGACAAAGCATGTTTGTGATTGTGCCCACACAGGCCAGTGTGTGATGTACAAGCAGGACATTTACCTATAGTCTCCATTGTGTCCCTCTCTTCAATCAATAGCTGAGCCCGGGGTATGTCGATGTGCATTCTCAGAGTTTGTTGTTGTTTGCTTAAGGTGTCCGAAGTTCGAGTATTCTTACTGGGAATAAAATAAGAACAATGCATTAACCAATCTAGTTCAGTGTTATATTATGTCAAAAATATGTGCCTGAAACACCAACATGGTTTATCATTCAGTTATACAAATGGCTTGTTGGGAGGGGGAAGAAAGAAAATCTGTAACATGAGATTTTCCTCTTTTGGTCAAGTGATCTTTTTTATTGTCTTATTTTTTTTTAAATAATCAATTCCAGCAGTCGAAAGAGATTCACAAACATAAATTTCCAATGGATTGGTTCAAAATCCATCAGTGGAAACCTTTAGCAATTTTTCATTTCATTTGCTAAAGGAAAGAAAGAAGAATCTATTTTAAAAGCCACATTTTCTTTCGTCAGATACGAGATGCTCTGAGGTGGCGAGGGAAGAAATGTGTGAACCAATTGCTCATTGGCTGTTGGTTTTGATCACTGATTTCTTGTGTGTCTGGTTTAGTAACAAATCACAAACCTTGTTAGCTTCTTGGCATTAGTTTTGTTTCCCTAACCAACAATGCAGTTTGGAACGAAAGGGGGAAAAAGCACTTGCTGTAATAATTTTATCTCAAAATTTGTGTACCAGAAAATTGCTTTGAGAATGAGTTCTGTAAAAGTGAGTACAAGTAAGTGGTAAAACAGCACGGGATGGGATTATCACGTTTAGTTACGGCCCAAGTAACCACCAGCCTCACTGTTGTGCAGAAATCTAGCAAAAAGCCAATAAAGGCCTTCATTAGTTAATCCACACTTGAGAATGGCTGCTCTGGCTTCACAAAACGATGAGAATTAATGGGATGTTAAAACACTGTTTACTGTAGCAGCCTCTAAGAAGAAGCAGCCACTGGGATGGGTCAATCAACCAGAATGCACAACTGTGTCTCAAACATGGTCAAAATCTGTCGACTGACTTCCGGAGCCTCATTCACCCTGTTGTGGTTTAGCTGTGTACCAAGTACTCCAATAGAGAACAAGAACAAACTAAGCACTTTACCCAGAGCCCCAGAATCCCTCCACAGATCCCAACATCTCTACTCCAAAACCAAGCAGCTGATTGAACTTTGCCCTGAAGGTCAAATTTACCCAGTAGCTCCCATGAAGTTCATGCTAGCTAACATTCAGGCTAGTGTTCTGAGTGTCTTACAATGCCCCTTTCTTTGTATGAGTCTAAACGAAACATCCCATGAACAGCCCAACACCGGAAAGGAGCAACTTTTCTCTGAGGACTTGCTCTTGAACCAGATTTTTTCCCCTCTACAGAGTAATTGGGTTATGTACCCTTGATCATGCTAATTACTCATTTGGCCTCATTTTTCACATGGTCTCTATACTGCTTCAAATTACTTTTGTAACTACCTTCTCAGTTCACTTGTGGTTAAAGAGAAAAGAAGAAAAGAGAAGAGGAAGCTGAGATTCAAATTTTTATGGAAAATGAAGAGCATTTTGGTTCCTTGGGGTGCTGCATTTATGTCATGCTTAGACAAGCTATATTTCTACAAAAAAAACATACGGGGAACTACTCCTCTGTGAATATCTGAAAGATCTGTTTAGAGACTCCACTAGGGACTTGAGCTTGTCCTTGTACCAAAAATAGAAGTGTGAGCTAGTTCCTTCTGCTTATCATGAATAGTTATGAGCTCTCTGCTGCTGTTCTATTAAACAAGTATGAGCACCAAGAGAAGGCTATACTTAAACAACAATACGGGATCTGTTGTCAGACTGACACAGGAAGCAAGCTAAATAACCACTGCAATTGCTGTTACCAGCACAAAGGCCACATATGGTTATGCCTCATGAATAAGGACAATCAAGGAGAGAGGTAAATCCCTTCACCTCCAAAGGCAGTCACCAGGACCCACCAATGGGAAGGCTAGACATTAATTCAATAAACCTTGACAGTCAGGTGCCAACTCCTTCTATCTCCCTTCACACAGAATATATGCTCCACTCCATGCACCAACATCCCAGTGGCTCATTCTTTCCTTCTTGGAACTTGGCTTAGCTGCCATTGTTGGCATGGACTAGCCAGTCTGACACAGGAAGTCTCCAGGGTCTTGCCCATTCATTTTGTCTCCTTGGCACTTATTACTCTCCAGTATATATTTAATTGAGTCAATTTCATATATTTAATTAGTTTATCTCATTCATTATCTGTTTCTCCCACTGGGAATATACACTCCACAAGGGGTGTTTATATGTCTCTGCCCTGGTCCCCGTGTCCCTAGATAAGATAGCTAGATAGAAGCTAGGATAGTAGGTGGCCCAATGAGATGCCTCATAAATATTTATTAAGTAAATCATTCTATTTTGGGGTCACAACATGAGCAGCGTGGCACATCCCCAAAGGCTGTACTTCGGGTTAATAATATCCTTCCCATTCTAAAATGTTGGGTTTCAACTAAGCTGTTTCTAATGAAACCACATATTAACATTTGCTACCATAGTTGGTCTTTTATTGTTACACGATGGCTGATCATCAAGAGTATAATAACTGGTCATTATAAAGCAACAAGCCTTCGAAACAATTATTTGAAGAAACTTCATTTGCAAGCTCAAAGATGCTGCTGAATGTTTTCCTTGAGCTTCTTTTTAACAACCTAGGGCCTTGCTCAAAGTACTAGTTATTATTGAAATGCCGTCTTTGGCCATCCATTTGCCATCTGGCTGTTTGGTAAGACAGTGCCGATGGGGAAAGCCGAGGGTGGTTTGCGGGGTGCAGTATTTCTCAGCTCAGTCCAAGTGATTTGCTTTCATTACCATTAGTCAAAGGGCTGATAATCCCACTGAAATAGGCAAATCCTTCTTGGGCGCAATTGGAAAACAAATGCTATTTTCACCTAGATTGCAAAATGGTAAAGCCAGAAATAATTTTGTTTTTTAATTAAATGAGGTAAGTGGGATGCTCTCCCCCAAGATCAGCAAACTGGCTGTTGGCTGCATGCAGTCAGGAGCAGATGCTGGTGGCTGGCTTCATGTTCTCTTGGCCCCAGCCTGCCTGGTCCTCATCTGCCCAGAGAAGACAGCAGCCAAGATCAGCTCACACAGGCCAGTGTCTTCTCCTCACTGACGGATATGACTGACCCATCCTGGCTAGGACACATTCAAAATCTGATCGGCTGTAAATTGACCTGGTCTTGGGTTGCCTGGTTGGTAAACTGTCAAACCCTTGACAATTATAATCACTGCAGATTAATTCCACAGAAATCTACCTATCTGAGAAGCCCTTCCAGTCATGTTTGCCAGTTGGAGGAGAACCACATGGGTGATCTGAAGTGGTAATGATGATTAGTGTTAGTGTTCTGAATTTCACCATGGCAACCATCCATCCGGGAGACCAGCATTAATTCCTGCTCTTCTCAGCAAGTGCTCTTACCAACCACAGGATTTACACCTTATGAACGAAGAGGATGCTTTGTAGTGCTTTGCTCCCGGGCTGTGAGAAGGGTGAGGGATGTACCCTAGGGCATCAGGAGAAGCGAAAAAGCAAGTCATCTTCAGCGAACCAATGTCAAACATGCCAGGGAATCATGGTTTCACAGCCTCTGGCCTGGGTTGAGGGATGGGTGGAGGAGGCAGCCAGGCAAAGAGCAAGGGAGCTGGGATACGGGGGACTGGGAGTAAAGGTAGGGAGGGTGGCCTAGGTGCTCTCTGGTTGCTGGGAGGTGTACAGAGCCCCGCGGGGGCCAGACTGGGACAGCTGAGAGGAACTGTGGTCACATGGCATCTAAAGGGACACCATCCACCACCCCACAGCCTTCGCCCACAGACTGGGGCTCCACATTCAAGAGGAGACAGCAAAGCAAATCAGTTCAAAGGTCAGTTCCTTGTTTTAAAGTCTGTACTGTGACGTTTGTTCTGCTAAGAGGATTGGTCCTTGCCAGGCACCGGTGAGTCACACTTAACAATCCTAGCTACTCAGGAGGCTGAGGCCTGAGGATCAAGGAGAGTCTTATCTGAAATTAACCAGCAAAAAGCTGGAAGTGGAGGTGCAGCTCAAGTGGAAGAGCACCAGCCTTGAGTGACAGAGCTAAGCAGTAGCTTAGCTGAGTTCACGCCCTAGTACTGGAACGAAAATGAAAGAAAGAGAAAGAAAAGAAAATGTGTATAAATTCTATGAGCCTTTCTCTCTCTTCCCCTCTCTCTTTCCTACCTCCTCTCCATGTCCCTTCTCTTACTCTCTCTCTCCATTTCTCTCTCCTTTTCTTTCTCCTTCCCTCTCTCTCATTTATCAGACCTGCAAGGGCAGGTATGCCTGGGTAGGACATAATGTGCCCACACATCTGTATCCTCCTGCTCAGCAAATAAGTATGGACTTCCAGAAGAGCGTGGCTGTGTGGTATTTCACGCAGCTTTTTGTACTCTCTCCTGGAAGTCTGGCCTCCCATGATTAAATCCCCGTCCTGAGACACATCTTCCTGGGACTTGCCTTACCTGTGGGCTCTAGCTCTACCAACCATCACTGGATGCTGCGAATGAATCCCCAGCGCAGCAGCATGACCTATGCACAGGTGTTTTTGTACCTGTCAACACCTCTTCCCAAGCCCACCCTGTGACAGACAGGCTGGTGCGCTGCCTCTGTTTCCCTGCTCATGGGGAAATGGCATCAGTGCTCTGCTAACCATTCCTGCCCATCGCTTCAGTTATCCTGGATTCCTCCATGTCATTCTTCTACTTAGGACTCAGACTGTTTGAAAACACCATGTGTCCAAAGACATCTGTGGGATACAGAATCTGGGCATCAGAGACGTTCCCCCTCTCAGCCTCTGTCCCCCCAAACACTGGGGACAGGAGGCTCCTTATGAAGAGTAAAATGCTGGTTTTCTCTGAGGCTATGAAGGCCCACTGCTGTGAGGAGTGCAAAGGCCACCCTCCTCTCTGCTCCCTCATTCTCTCTTCTTCTCCTACGCGTCACCCTAACACGGCAACCCCAAGTTGACAGTTTTTCCCCCCTCTTTTCACCTGTGATTTGATCACAACATTATAAAAGAATTAACCTTCAAATATCAGGGAGAGACGCCAGGCCACTAATTTCTCACGTATGAATGCTGAGTATCAGAAGGGTCTGGTTGCTACATGGAGTTAGGAAAGCATAAGACCACCGTTGGTGTGTGGCGGGGGTGGGGCTGGGCGGGAAATGGAGCTGAGCAACGTGGCAGGAACGAGCTCCTCTCTCCCCAGCCCTGCCCGCTGCCAGCCTGCGGATGCTTCAAAGCGCCGTGTCTTCTGCTGCTGTGAACACCGCGCTGTTTGTTCAGCCGCCCTGTGCACTCCACTGCAGTGCAGCCACTGCAGTGCTGGGAGCTCCCGGACTGGCGAGGGACGCAGCTTCCGGACAGAGCGGGGAGGCCGTGCCAGAGGAGCGGGTGCGTGTGCAAGTGGATGGGTGCCGAGAACACCCTGCACGGAGGGCCAGACTCTCTCCTGGATGGGCCGTTGCCTGGGAAGAGCTCAGCACACGGCCCACAGCACACTTCCTTTGGTGGTTTGGCTTGACTCTGGCTCAATCGGTCAGAAAGAAGGTTGACCGCAGAGGTCGCATGTGTGGGTGGAGGCCTGGCGGAAGGGCCCCAGGATGCACACTTGGGTCTGTGTTTTATTGGGAACATGCTATTGGCTGTGTCCACTCAACAGCACAGCCCCTGCTGGCAGGTGTGGGAGGAGGTTACTCTGTGTCTACGTATCCAGCAAGACTTTGTCTAGATATTTTGGGATGCAAATGCAAATTATAGTGTCGAAATGAAAATGTGACCTATTAAAAAAGTCAACAAGGCAAATGGAAACATCCTTTTAAACTGATCTGGAATTTTAGGCTCTTACCTCATGAGCATTTCAGCCAAACTCTTTGCATCTGGAAAAAGAAAGAAAGAATTAGTACAAGGTAAATAACTCATTAACATTCACATTGGCATTTATGACAAATGTTCTGCAGCCATTTGCGAATGTAATTATATACTCAGATCGCTACTAATGACCTACAGTTTTATGGATTCCTTATTTCTTCTATATGGGATTCTTTTCTTGTCATTTATTTATTGCAGGAATGATACTATAATTATCTGGTGGCCATAAAATCTCAGACATCTATTAATGTTTTTACGACAACCTATTCATTTGTCTCTTCTAGAACACTCTATTTTATTTTTTGCAGTCAGAAAACTTACACTTGGAAAGGAAGTCATGTGTGCTATATGGCCCCACCAAAGATGACCAAATTAGCAAAGTCAAGAAGCTTGGGATGCCAGGGTTTATTCTTCCCTGGCACTCACTGGAACAGTTCTGCATTACGTGAGTGGTCAAATAATTCTGCGAATGTCACACTGCTCTCTTTAGAAAATTACACAAAAATTCATAATTTTTCCTTTGCATGACATTGTTTACTAAGATTCTGCTACCCTTATTATACAAGAAACATCACGTAAAATTTTCATAGAGGAAAAAAACCTACGTATTTGGCAGTAGGATTTGTAAAAATTCTTTTTCTCCTTAAAATATAATGTGTTCTGTTTATACATTTTATCCTAGCAGAAGTGAAGGTTTCCTTTCTTAGGACACAAAAGCCTTATTTCTGTTTCTTCCATTTGCTCTCTGAATGACTTGATGTTATGTATCCTGTTTAATGAAGAGAACTTTCTGGAAATAGTTCCAGCTAACTGTGTGAGTGGCTTTATTTGAGAAACACATATGTTGGTTGAGTTTTCACTTTGTTCTCTGGGGGTTGGTGTTTAATGCAATCAGTCTCAATGGGGGTAGGTATGTGGACTCAGGATAAATCACCAGACAGGCTGGCACTCGATGGCCTGAAGCTCCATGCTTCAAGTCGGCCACACCAGGACACACTGGTACCCTCAATGTGAGGTCCAGTTTTGTCACAGATGGGTTCAGAGTAGAAGACGGAACAAATCTCAGCTACTTCACCCACGGGGAGACGCAAAGGAAGACAAATAGCATTTAACGTGCCAGTCTGTTTCTGCATATTTGTCCTCAAAGATGAAGTAAATAGAATGAGTGTCTTCTCTTCGTAGGTGATTTAACACTTACGAAGTGGATGTAGAGAGAAACGAAAATCCAGAAACTGGGGATTGATGACTTCCATGGAAGGACCCACGGTGGTGAGGATGGGACTCTAAGGAAGATGGAAAAGTCTAGAGGGGACAGTGGCTTCAGCCACACTGGCGCGAAGCTGGCCCGGCCTGCCTCCCCCGGGCTTTGTCACTGCCTTGTTCTCCCGTGGTCCTTCTAGAGCCACGTGCTGTGGAATCACAGCGCCCCACAGTGCATCAGGCAAGAGCAGACCCGGTCGGGCCCGCCTCTGCCGGGGACTAGTTCCCACAGAAGGGATGAGGAGGTGGGTTTCAAGAATGTTCACCTCCATTGCCTATGTTTCAGTTTTGTTAAACCACATGATCCTCAAGATCATAAAGCAACGGACAGCAGGCTAAGGAGAGCGGGGGTCGGGTGGGCCCATCTGGAGAGAGAACACAGGAGTGACCCCTGTCCGAGTGGCGCGTGGGACCGGAGCGGCTTGGGACCCGCAGGAGGCCTGTGTCGTACACAGAATGCTCAGAGCCACTGGAGCAGTGTGTTGGTTCAGTTTCCCCAGACAGAGAGGTTTCCAGGGTCGTGGTAGATACACATGGCCATGACACTACAGAGCTAAGGAGAGGAGGCGTGTGATGGGCTGTAGTCTAAAAGATGGAGCCTGGGCCAAGCGGAGGGGGAGGAAGGAGGCGGAGGTGGGGGTTGGCAGGAGGGAGCTCGAAGCTGGAATTCACACGGCTGGACAGGAGACAGGCACTGGGGCCGCACCATTTCCTCGGGAGAATCCAAGCGATGTGGTGTGAGGCCAGAGGAAGGTGGGTGAGGCCACTGCGGGACTCTGTGAGTGCCAGAGACCGGGTCTGGAGGGCACGGGGCAGATGGGCAGCAGGGCCCAGGGGAATGGCGGGCTGTGGGTTCTGCTGGGCAGGGCAGGGACGGAAGGGAAGGACAGGACAGCGGCCACCTGGGTGAGAATGTAAGCAGCGCTTTGAGTGAAGCCCTTTGGAGGTAGGGTGTGGAGTGCGGTTGGGGAGATGCAGGGCAGAGCAGAGGGCTCTGGGTGTGGTTCAGCGAGGAAGAATATAAAGAGAAGGTGACAGCGTCCTCATTGTAACAGGATTTGTTAAGATCCCAGGGTCATAGAACAAAGGGCGGCGAAGACTTTAAAATCAGCTTCCGGGGGAAGCTTGGGACTCTGTTCCCAGAGTCTTGGGTGGATGCTAGCATGAGCGCTGTGGCCGACACATGCGGTACAGGTTCTGGACTGGGCTCCTGGGCACTCTCGTGGCATGGCTGCTGCCGTGCACGGGGGTGTACCCCAGGACTGACCTGCCCCCCAACACCTCAACACCTCTTCACCAGACTTGCTCCTTATAGGCCTCATTTCCTAAGCTCAGCTCTCACGTGGTTGCTTACATCTACCCCACTGTCTCCCTAACTCCAGCTGCTCAGCCTTCTCTGTGAAAGGGTCCTGAACCCTGCCTTGCCAGGCCACCCCTGGTCCCCAAGACTCTCAAGGGGACTTCCTCTCTTCCCCTTCCCCGCCCCATGTTCCCCTGCACAGACGAGGCTTGGCTGCCCTTCCAGCTCTCGCCTCTGGCTGGCACCTCCTATTCTCTGTTCCCCCTCCTGCCGCTTTCTGCCATGACTCCAATGGCGCCAGGCTTGCGAGGCCTCCAGTGTCTCCTGGCTCCCGGAAGATGCGACCTGCTCCGGGCTCCCTCCCGGCCCCAGTGGGCGGTCAGCCCTGTGGTGGTTCTCCAGGGTTCTGGGGTACTCCAGGCCTCCACAGGCCACGGCAGCCCCAGCTGGTGGCCCCTCCCTCCCAACTCTCTGCTGTTCTCATGCCCTCTCTCTCTCTCCCTCTCTCTCTCTCTGTGCTTTTTATATCTTGGGTATAACCCAGACCCTGGTAGAGAAGAGATCCTGCACAAACTCTTCCCAAGGATATATTCACAGTTGTTAAAAAACACCTCTCCCCCTCCACTCTGGTGGTGAAATTCCCGATGCTCTCTCTACTTGTCCATCCTGATGGAATTCTCTGGAACCATCAGCAAACCATGAAAATGCCCCCCTTGAGTGGCTGTTTTGTTGCTTGGCGTTGACTATCCCTTTTTCCAGATTAAATTCTGTAAAGTTGTCAATCATTTCTCATAGGATATGGTTTCTAGCTAATCCTTTTTGGTTTCTGGTTTTGGGGTTTAAATTCAGGGCCTGGGTGCTATGCCTTTAGGCTAGCTCTCTACCCCTGAGCCACAGCTCTACTTCCAGCTCTTTGGTGGTTGATTGGAGATAAGAGTCTCGTGGACTTTTCTTCCCTGGGCCAGCTTCAAACCCTGATCCTGAGATCTGAGGATTATAGATATAAGCCACCGGTGCCTGGCTTTCTAAGTAAGTTTTTACTTGGCACTCTCTTCTACAAAGATATATGATTTCTTCTTGTCTTCTACTTTGTGAGGCCCACAACAGACATTGGTGATTTTTAGTATTTTTTTTTCTATTATAGTAATGCCAGCAAAATGCTCATTAGTGATCATATGATCATGTACTTTACAATTTGCCTAGTGAACTTTACACTTATCCTGATTAAGATGTGGCTTCCTGGTTCCAACCGTTCAAAGACTCTTAGAGTTTGGATCCCTTCCCTCAGTACATTGACCTCCTCACTCAGGGGTGAGCTGCCTCAGAGCCTGGCTCAGCCCGCCAGGGGTTCCCCCTAGAGGAGCCACATGCTCCTTGATGGTAAGCACTGTAGAAACACAAACCGGGGTTCATCCAGACCCCTGGTGGCCCTGCCCTTCCCTGGCTGCCTACCCACCATCCTTTGTATAACCCAAACTAATGTATAAGGTCCAGAAAATAGGCACAAAGTATGACCTAATTAACCCCAGTTTGCCACTGAGTATTCAAAAGATCTTGAGATTATATGTTGGATAATTGTGTTCAGAAACTCAAGTTATTTCCCTCTCTGGGGTGTTTTAGGGGTGTAACCCACGAAAACTTTCTTGATCTCTCCAGTGGAGGGATTTCTCTTCAGTGAAATGTCATAGCATTTATTGGTGTCAACGTTTTGCTGCCTGTCATTTGGAAATGTGTAACTGTTGTTTGTCAACATTGTTTGAAAAAGCAAATCTCCAGTTCCTCCCACCAATAGGCAGTGCACAGTTAAATCTGAAGGAACAAAATTATTTCAACTTATCAAGGATTTGATCATTTTGTCAAGCATTCTGAGTTCTCTCTCTCTCTCTTCCTGTGTGTCTGTCTGTCTCTCTCCTTCCCTTTCTCTCCCTTTCCCCCTCTATCTCTCTCTATTTCTACCCCTCCCTCTCTCTCTCTCTTTCTCCATCTCCCCCTTCTCTCCATCTCTTCCCTTCTCTGTGTCTATCTTTGGCTCTCTTTCGCACTCCCTCTTTGCCTTCCTGCTTAATCTCTACCCCTTCCCTCCCTCCCATGCTTTTTATAATTCCTGGTCCACATTTTCTGGTGTGAAGAACGCTTCCTCTGGTTCATGTCAAGACAAAGCAGATGCAGAGAGGCATCTTTTCCATCCGCCATCTGTTCCCATGAGAACATTACCCACAGTCCTGTTCTTCAGGCCCAAACCAGCCAGACACAGCCCTTTGTGTTGCCTCTCACATCTTCTCCTACATTTCAGATCAACTGAGATTTAGACATCTGTCTTGAAGCTCCTGGCTCATTATAGTCCTGGGGTCTGTGACCCAACTGTGATCTGAGAGGGGCAGATGGAGAAAGTCTACCAGAGTCCAGCCATGAGCACTGTAGTGACACATGGAAGGAAGAGCTGTGGGA